AAACTATGCCGTTGAGTTGGATGCGACCCATAACGACGACTCCTTGGGTTTCTGAGGTGGTAACACTACGGAAGTAGATTGCCCAACCTTTCTTCCGAGGAGTGGCTGGTGGGTTTGAACCACCAGCCTTCTGGTTAGCAGTCAAGTGCCTTAGGTACTACGCCACCAGAGCTCCTATAAAGAAAAGGAACTCCTTTTTTTCTGGAGCTTGTTTATTTTGTAAAGTAAGGTTTGTTCAGAGTTCCTAAACTTTTACTAATGAAACAAAACTAACCTCTCTCCAATGCCTTTCTCTGTTTAGTTTCATTCACGTCATCCAAAACACTTGTTAAAAATACAGATTCTCATTGTTACGGATATTTTGATTCAATGAGGATGGGTAGGAACTAGGAATTTTTTTTCTAAAGGCTTCTTTCCGGATTCTGAAACCACACCTGAATTTAGGACTCATTACCATAGAGGAGCTCTGGTAGCATAGTACCTAAGGCACTATGGGTAATAAGGAAGGCTGGGCAATCTACTTCCGTAGCGATACTGCCTTGGAAACCCGAGGAGGGGTCACTATGAGTTGGTCTGATTCAATGGCACATAACAACAACCATAGAGGACTCTTTTTGATTTGTATTATAAAATATTATTAGATTCTTTCATTTTTAATTTTTTGTTGCGATATAATTCATTTACCATAAAATCGATGTCTTTGAAGTGTACAAGTCAGTGGGTTTTAGTATAATCACAAGATTGTGCAACTATCACCACTATCTAATTCTAGATCATTTTCATCACCCCAGGTCAGCAATCACTCCCTATTCCTCCTTAATCCTATTCATTGACAACTATTAATCTGCTTTCTTTTTCTCTGTATTTACCTATTCTGGACATTTTGCATAAATGGAATCATATACTATGTGACCTTTTATGTCTGGTTTCTTACACTTAGCTAGTGTTTTCAAGGTTCATCATATATAGCATGTATGAGTAGTTTATTCTTTTCTCTGGCTGGATAATATTCCATTGTATGTATATACCACATTACATTTTTCCATTCATCAATTGGTGGAATTTGAGTTGCTTTTCCATTTTTTTACTTATTCTTATGCAGATTTTTA